TATTGTCTGACTTCCATTTGTGAGGGTGAAATGAGATTCGTTATTGCCATTGTGTTTTTGTTAATCCCTAGTACACGGCCTGCTGTAAACACCCAGGACACCCAGGAAAGGGTCCTTGCTGTTTGGTTTTCCTTATCCACAGTCTCAAGGGGAAGCCAGCCCAATGAGAACAGCCTTTTGCTGTCAGGCTGTCCCTTTAAGAGTCACTGAAAGGGCCCCAGGGTGGGATGGTGGGAGATAAGCACCTTGAGAGGAGCTGGCACAGAGGAGTTCTGGGACAAAGGGTCCGAGAGGCAGAACAGGAAGTGCTGCCAGCTAATGAGGGGGAAAGGAAGTCAGAGGCTTGGTCACTGAGGAGACAGAACATCTCCATGTGCACTCTCATCTCTTGTAGTCAGCAGCAGGTGGTCCCAAGGAGGGCCCTGCACCATGTGCCACCATGAAAGATCCAGAGGTAAGAGGCCCTGAGCTGAGGTACAGTGACCCTGCAGGCCAGCCCTCCACCCTCCTCCCACAGTGGCGGCTGGGTGCCCCTCTGCCAGCCGAGACAGCCCCTACACACCCCAACCCTAATGATTGTTCTCTCTACCTCTCCCCCGATCCTCCCCCAACTCCTCCTCTCTGCAGGTGCCTCAGAGCACACACCAACTACAAATAGGCCTGGACTCGAGCTCCGTCACAACCAGTCAACTGAATAACACCATGGACTTATTGGTAAGAGTCCAGTGGAGTCCCCTGATTCCACGCTGCCAATTCTGGGCTCCAGTTTCCCCTTGGGGCTGCTGTGGGTGAGTTGAAGGGCGCTATGGAGAGCCAGCACTGGATGCAGAGCTCAGAGGCCAAATGCCCGCCCTGCTCTTACTTGGCTGTGGCCTTGGCCAAGTTCTAGGTGGGAGACTGGGTACTTGTACTGTGACAGTACAGAACAGTAGCTTTAGTATGTTACCATTTGTGTATAGAGGAAACGTGTGTGTGTGTGTGTGTGTATGTACTATGATAATATACATAAGACATGTCTGCAAGGATTTGTAAAACACTCAGGAGAGAGCACAGGTGGCTGGGAGATACTTCTCTTCTGTACTTTCTGAGTTTTGGACTATGCGAATGTATCATCCTTTCAAAAAGTGAGGAGAAGACTAATTTCTCCCTTCCTGTCTGTGCCCCCACCCCCAGCAGGAAAAAAAATGGACTTAGAGGATCAGATGGACCTGGGTGTTCAAATCCCAGCTCTGTCTAAGTGACCTTAGGCAACCACTTAACCTCTAATACTCCATGTTTTCCATCTACCCAATAGAGGTAATGGTAGCAACTGCTTCACATGGCGGCTGTGAGGTTAAATGGGATTGTTACCACACTACCTGGTGACACACTCAATAAAGGTTCCAACAGCGGTAGTAACAACAGGAATAACAATAGAATATGATCTGATCTCTCTGGGCCTCTGTTAGCCAGCTGTAAATTTCATCTCTTTGCCTGTCCCTTCCAACTTTACTGAGTTCTTTTAAAATCCAGACCATGGGCCTTGATCTTTACTGACTGAGTTGTGTATGAAGCCCAGCGCTAGCCCTTTTAAGGGACACTGTGTAGAATGGCCCAGGCTCTCCAGATTGAAGCTTCTCCCTCTCCACCCTGCAGCCCTCATGCCGCTGTGAAGCAGTCCTTGAGCAGCAGTTACAGCAGTTTGTACAGGAGCGGGAACTGCTAAAAGCACAGGTGGCAGAGGTGAGACTTTGCAGAGGGAGGGATGTGGAAGGAAGATGACCCCAGGTGGCCAGGAGCAGGTGAGGACCAGTGACAGCCCTTCCTAACTTCTGGGTCCATTCTTGCAGGTGACGGGGTGTCTTAAGAAAGCTCAGCTAGAAAGAGACGCATACGCTCAACAACTCAAAACAGAGAGGGCGCGGTGGCAGCAACAATTGCTGAAAATGGCAGGAGAAGTGAGAGCTGACCCTTCAGCCCCCACCTTAGATGGTTCACTGGATCTTCCTGGGCATCTGTAAAAAGAATAGTCCAGCCAGGGGTGGTCACGGGACTGGGCTTTGTGGAGCTGGCGGCGGAGAGGGAGATGGTAGTCTATCCAGCCACCAGCCCCTCTCTCCACGGCCCTTTCCCCCTGTGCTTTGGGCAGATTGAAATATTCAAAATGGAGAAAAGACAGGACGCAATTAAAATTGAGGAGCTGAAGGGGAGCCTTGCCCACCTACAAAACCATCTGGGTAAGATGGGGCTGTCGTGACCAGGGAGCAGGACTGGCATCAGATGGCTGTGGGGGTGGCTTAGAGTGCCCCAGGGAGGTGGGTGGCTGGAAGGGCTTTGAGGCAGAGGGAAAGAGGTCTGTGCTAGGAGACGGCAAGTCTCGTAATCTCCATGAGCCTCAGTGTCCCCATCAGAAAGAGGGAGGGATGCCTGTCGTCAGCCACCCACAGTGTTCTCTATGTGAAAGTGGCTTGGAAGACTGGCTACCATTTGGGTGCGAGGAATCATTAGCAGTGAGGCCAGGCTTGGGGAGCCTGAGAGGAGCTGTGCACCCAGAAGAGATTTTTTTGTTTTTTGTTTTGCGAATCCAGAGGCCCTCATTGTCTGCTTCCTTTCTCAGTTGAACCCCCAATCCCAAAGCCCCCAGCAGGGCACTCTGACTTGGAGAAAAACCTAAAAACTGAAATCAAGTACCTGAGAGACGAGCTGCGGGAACAGCAGAGACTGCAGGAGGTGAAAATGAGGCTCTGGGAGCGGGAGGTGAGGCTGAGAGAACAGGAGGAGAGGCTTCTTGAGCAGGAGGGGCTCCAGGAGCAGGAGGAGGAGCTGATGTGTTGTCCACCTGGGGAGACCGCCCTCCTTCCCATCCCTCTGGGCCTTTGTTTTCCCACCTGTAAAATGGGGGAGTATATGAAATGGGGCTTCTGAAGACACCTGTGAGCACAGTATTGCTCTGATGGCTGTGGGAGAAAGGAGACAATTTTTCTAACCTCCCTCCACCCTTCCTGGTGCCATGGGAGGCAGTCCCCAAGTTTTGGGGTCTCCAGCTGCAGTGGGTGGCCGCTGATTGCTTCTCTCTGTCCAGAAGAACCAGAACAGGAGCGCACTGCATTTGGACCAGGAAGGAAAGGAGCTGCAGGAGAAGCTTGGCGAACAGGAGACGGTAACTCCTGCCCCATCCAGGAGGGCTGGGAGGCAGGCACCGGCCTCTGGGGAGGGGAGGTGCAAGGCCACAGGCAGCTCCACCCTGGGGGCAGGTGATCCCACACCCTCCAGGGCAGTTCTGTGACCGTTTCTTGCTTCCTGTCCTCTGACTTTTAGAGGCGGGTAGCTCTGGGCTCCTCCCAGGTCTGGACATCATCATCCCAGCTCGAGGGATGGAGCTCCCCAGTCATAGGGCAAGAGAGACAGTGGTGTGAGAGGCTCTTTATGCTGGGTGCGGTGGCTCACCCCTGTAATCCGAGCACTTTGGGAGGCTGAGGCAGGAGAATCCCTTAAGATCAGGAGTTTGAGTTCAGCCTGGCCAACATGGCGAAACCTCATCTCTACTAAAATTACAACCACCACCAGCACAACAAAGCTGGGCGTGGTGGTGCACACCAGTAATCCCAGCTACTCAGGGGGCTGAGGCATGAGCATCGCTTGAGCCTGGGAGCTGGAGGTTGCAGTGAGCTGAGTTTGCACCACGACTCTCCAGCCTGGGCCACAGAGTGACACTCTGTCTCAAAACAGAGCAGAGCAAATCAAATCAAAGCAAAACAAAACGAAAGTCTCCTTAGATCCAAACTGGATTCCGGCCTTGATTCCACTAGTCACCATTCAACTACTTGCATCTCTTAGTCTCTGTTTCTTTAACTTCCAAAGGAAGTTAGCGTTTTCCTTGCGTGTGTGCTGAGGATTAAATGAGATGATGCGTGGAAAGCATTAGGCATGTAGCACACTTGGCAGATGGTGGTCGGCTCCCTGTGCTTTTCCCCAGTCTGTGGCCTACAGTTTAAATGGTGGAAGGAAGGACGTGAGATTTGAGGCTGGGGAAGAGGCATGGGGTTCTAGGCAAGGGAGGCAGTCTCTTAGGCTGGAGCCAGGGGCCAGGCGCCTGGGCAGGCCACATTCCTCTGTGGCCCCTCCCAGACCCCCTTATGCTCTTGGTTTCTCCACCTTCTGATTCATCTGGACCCTCACCCCTTCCGGGAGCCAGTGTTCAGACACCATCGTGACTGACAGGTGCACTCTCCGAGACCCCAAGGGTAGGGGCTGCACTCCACCTCCCTGCCCCGTCTGTCCTGTGTATGCCCCTACAAGAATGCTCCCCTCTTGCCTTCAGGTGCCATTTCTGAACGCTGCTGGAGCCGGTGCCCAGGAGGAGCAGGCACGGCTCTGTGAGCAGCTCCAGAAACAACAGGTGTGCAGCCAGCACCAGGGTCACCCAGTGGCCTCGGCCCTGAGGGAGCCAGAGGCAGCGACCGCAGCCACAGGGACTAGGAGAGACCGTGGGTGTGGGGAGACCCAGCGGGCCCTGCAGGGCACCATCGACAAGCTGCAGGTGAGTGAGTCCTGGCAGGTGCCATGAAGGGTGGGGTGGGGTAGGTCGCTGCCGAGATGTGACCCCGTTATTTCGGCTCCAGAATGACTTCATGGCCCTCGTGAAGGAAAATGCGGACCTGAAGGAGCGGGTGGAAAAACTAGAACTCGGACTCATCCAGCTCTCTGGAAAGAGAGACATGATAAGTGAGCAGGAGGCCAGGGCAGGGCAGGGGAGCTGCAGGGTGGTGGGAGGGGCCCCAGTGTCTGAGCCTGTCCTCCCACAGGAAAGT